ACAAGAACAAAAACCACTTTCTCTTTCGAACTCAAATATCATGTGCATACCTGCGCACACAAACACACACACAGGAAAAAACAAAGGGAGAAAAAGAAAAAGGTAGTTAAAAAGTACTCAGAATGGAGTCATGAATATTCAAGATGATAGTGTTATGCTACTGTTAGGTTATCTGGTCACAATTTTATTTTCAAACCTGTCCCCATCAGAGTTATCAAATCATTTTATATCCCCTGTTTCAGTAATAAGTTTAGTGAGTATAAGATAGTATAATCAAATTTCATTTCTTTATTAGAGTGAATTTTAAACTTTACTTAGAAGTGAAACTTAACTTGTGTGTGTGTGAGACCCTGTTAAGTAACTTGTAACGCCCTGCATGTTAACTCCTGACAAATAACTTGTAACTCCTGACCAACAACTCCCAGCATGTTAACTCCTGATAAGTAACTTGTAACCCCTGCGCGTGCATCCTGATAAGCCCAGAAGGCCACCGGAGCACACTGATATGAGACACTGAAGAAGCCTGTTATAGTAATAAGTTTAGTTAGCATAAAGTAAACTCCATTTTGTATTAGCATAAGTTAGCATAAAGTAGACTCCATTTTGTATTAGCATAAGTTATTATAAGTAGACCCCATTTTATTCTTAGACCAAAACTTGTAAACAACTCCAAAAATAAGATGTATGTATGATTGATAAGCTTTGAACATGGTCACAACTTTCCCGCCTGAGTGTATACCTAGATAACAGGGCAGCACCCGTGTTTGGCACCCGATATGAGACACTGAAGACGCCCAGCTTCAAGGATTTAAGGAGAGCAAATCTGCTGCTGTTCAGACGCTTGTCTGCCCTCCACAGACAGGACGCTCTCCTCACCCCTGGAAACTGCCAAACTGCCAAACTGCCATTCTTGCTCTGCCTGAGCCCAAACTGCTAAAGGCCTCTCTTCGAGTCAAGAGACCGAGCTCCTTGCTGCAGCATATTTTGACGACCTCCGTGTGTCTCCTCTGTCAGTGAGTGTCTCCGGGTGGCCTGCCAAGGACTGAAACCCATCAGCTCTCTGGTAAATAAACCTGTGTGATTTCTTGCATTGTTTATCTCCTGTCTCTCTCTCTCTCTCTCTTCTTAGTTTTTGGTTAAGCTCGGCCATATTAATTAAAAGTAAGTACCCTTTGACGTTTGTATTGGTATATCCAAATGAAACGCTCTGGGTCACCTGTGCATACGTTCCTATAGATAATTGGAACATCCCCCCTCCACAGTATAGATGCTGTATTATACATAAAAGGCAGAAAACTAAAGGGAAATAGCAGATGTCACATAAGCTGCTTCAAGAGTAGCATAGTGTTTGTTCTGACTGGGACACTCTGAGGGGAAAATAAGATGAGAACAGAGGAAAGAGCACAAAAGAATAGAAAGAAAGAAAATGTGGTGAGAATAAGAAATGAAGCATTAAACTCTTTGGGGTTATTCCAAATGAATAGCTCTGGTCAATTCTGTCATCACCCAAAACAAAATTATGCAAGGTAAAATACAGAAGAAAAGAACAAATTACAGAATTGTTGCTTCCATCTGAGGACAGAAAGAAGACTAAAAGTTTGTTGGGAAACTATATTCTACCTGTGTCATCACCAAAATATTCTAAGAGTGCATAATTATGAGACTATAGAGAGATTGCACTATCATGGTTGAGTGAAATTTACTTTTGTTGCTAGAGGAAAAATAGTCAAACAAAAATTTGAGTGGAAATATAAAACATTTGCATCACCAGAATATAACCCCTGATGTACCTTTGCAGTTCCTCTCCTATCTTTGGAATCAGCCAGCCATTAATCTACTATCAATGGAGATGAATTTTGCGGCTTTTAGAATTTTACGTAAATGGAACCACATAGTATGCACTCTTGAAAGCCGTTTTTTGCTCAGTATAATGCCTTTGAGTTTCATCCACCTTGTTGCATAGAGCAACAGTTCATTTCTTTTATTGTTGAGTAATATTTCATTATGTGGATATATAATAATTTGTTTATCCATTACTCCATTGGGTTGTTTCTAATTTTTGGCTAACATTAATAAAACCAGCGTAAATATTTCTGTTAAAGTCTTTCTGTAGACATTTATTTTCAAATCTTTCGAGGAAATAGCTTGGAGTAAAATTGTTAGGTTATATAGAGGAATGTTTTTTTTTTTTGTTCCCCCTCTATTTTTGTGATTAACATGCAATCTGTGAGGTGATGGGTATGTCTATTGCCAGACTGTGGTGCTGGTATCATGGGTGTTTGCATATGTCCAAACTCATCAAATTGCACACATTAAATATGTGCAGTTTTCTGTATATAAATTATATTCAAATAAAGCTGTGTTTAAAAAGGAAATATATGTTTAATTTCATAAACATATAACATTGTCCAAAGAGGTTGTACCATTCCCATCATTAATGTAGAATAGTCCCAGTTGCTCCACATCAATAGCAATATTTGATATGGTAAGTCTTACATTTTAACTATTCAAGTAGTTATATGATGATATCTACATATAGTTTAATTTGCACATTTTTAATGATCTGTTGAGCATTCTCATGGGCTTATACCAATATATATATATATATTGGCATATATATATTGTTGTGAAGTCTCTATTTAAATATTTTGCCAATTATTAGTATTATTTGTCTTGAGTTATAATATATATATATATATATACATATATATATATATATATAGAGAGAGAGAGAGAGAGAGAGGTATATAATGATTTGTAATCTATAATAATAACAGGGTAATATGCTAATTAGACCTGACGTCTTCCGGACATCATGCCAGATGTCCTTCCTGATGAAACCGGGACAGGAGGGAAGCCAGCCAGGGTCCCGGGTGCCGGAGGGAAGCTGGTGCTGGCAGACAGAGGAAGGAAGGCCTACTCTTGCACAAATTTTCATGCATTGGGCCTCTAGTGTATAAATAATATAGATACAATCATTTTGTCAGATACATGTATTACAGATATTTTTCTCCATTTGCAGACAATCTTTTCATGGAATTTCATTAGAATACTTCTTTACTGTTTTGCCCAGATATATGTCAGTTCTCCTGATTTCTGCCATAAGATATCTTAGTGAGAACTAGATCATTTTGACATATCTCAGAACATGATATAGCTATTATAAAGAATAGACTCATTACATTAATGACATTATGCTAATTGTACCTGGTGAAGAATAAGCAGTAAAGAGTCTGTAACTTCAGTATGATATTTGTTCACCAACAAGAATATGACCTCATGGGACCAATTTGGCCTAATAAATCCTAAAATTTAAAATGTACAGCAGCATTCTATCATAAACTCAAAAGGAGCATATTGGAGGCTAGGCCTGAACAATTCCAAAAAGGTACAGTAAACTGCATGAGCAGATGGCTCAAACTCCCATGGTATATTTCTGTATTAATTTTCTCTCTTCACCTGAACCATGTACATAGACTTGGTGCAGGAGAGGGAAAGGGTTCCATATGATCACATAGTGGAGAAGTAAAAAGAAAAGTTTTATCGCTGAATGTGAAATGTGTGACTGCTAAAAATAGATTCCACATTATGGTCCCATTCAGGGGGCTCCCTTGAAAGACAAGTGGAGTTAAATTAAATCTTTGAGTTAAACAGACATTTGGGTGATATATCTGGCTGTTCATCTAGCAGGAAAGATGAGTATCTAGCAATATAAATCTAAAATGACTCATATTCAGAGATTAACGGGTTCACTGGCTGGTCAAGAACTCAAAAAGAACAAAACTATAACATTAGTGATGAAGAGATTTTGGGGAGAAGTATGCATAGGGATTATTCAGAATGAACACAGATTATTAAGTTAATTCCTATGTAAATACCCATAATTTTTGATAACCAGAGTTGAGGAGGAGACTTTCAGTAATCAGGTAGACAGAATGGTATGTGGTGTGGGCATCAGGAAGCCTCTTTCTCCAGACACCCTGATGTTTGATCAATGGACTAATACAGAATGGCCATGCAACTGAAATGAGTCCTATGCATGGGATCAACAAAGTTGTCTTCTGCTACCCAAGGATGCCCTGGAACTGAGTGCCCGATGTGTCAAATGCAATGGCCAAATCTGTGTCCCAGTTAAGATACCAATTCTGAGAGGGACAGCAGGCTAGCTTGGTGGCAGATTACATTGTGACTATCACATTGAAGAAGGCAACAGTGGGCTTTAATAAGATATACTCTTAATCCAATAATGAATTTGACTTCCTGCCCACAGATCTACTGTCGTACCACAAGGACTTCATAGTATGTTGGATTCATCTCCCTTGTATTCAATTTACCATTGCCTCTACACTCATCATTTCTTGGATAGTCACCTCAGACCATCATAGCCATACCTCTCTTAAGGATTTTGGACAATTATTTAAAATAACTGTTATGACAACTGATTGAATGTAGGCCTGATATTACCTTTCCTCGTGCCCTCATTGTATGCTCCTCACTGCTGGCCTGTGATTTACCAATTGCCACTAAAAAGTGCTAATTTCCTCTGTGTATGCATGCACACCACTGACGTGCGGTAAAGATAGTAACCTTTAAAAGTTTTACTCTTATCTAGCCAAGCACTAGCTTTGTTTGTTTGGTATTTATATATTTATTTCTCAATAGAATATAAAGATAGACAGTATGTTTGTCTTCTTCATTTTTTCCCTAATATACTGCACACAAATGGCTGGTACACAGTAAGGTAAGGGTCCAATAAATATTTATTGAAAAGAACAAAGCAAAATACCCACTTTTACTTTGCAGCATACAGAATTTTACTCAGAAATTAACATGTCTATCCATTTTCATTCACCAACACATCCTGTGTGGTCAGACTATTTTTGGACTTCCTTTTAGTCTTCGGTACATCGTGCTAGCAGGAATATCCATCCAAGGCTGAAACTATTCTCTATTTTCTTTTACTATTTTCTGAGTAATATCACATGAAAATATTTGAGAAGATGGAGACTGAAGATGGCTACATGAAGCTGAATTTCAAGGCTCACTTCAAATCCCGGCAGAGATCTAAAGGTAGGAATATTGTTATTTCGCACTCAGACTCCAGTTTAAAATTGCATTATTCTCTTAGGAAGACACTTATCTTTGAATAATTTTAAAGTATTAAAATTAACTATATTCTGGGATTTTACAAAATGGTCATATGTTGCCTAAATAGGTTATTTAGACTCATTTGAGCATCAACAATAAAAAATAAGCAAAAACCTCCCACAGTACTTTTGTAGCCATGGGGCCATCAAAATGCTAATAGCATAATGTATAATCTTCTCAGTGTGGTATAATAAGAATACAAAGGTAACTTTCAAGTAAAAGGTCAAAGTTAGCATTTTCATAAAAATTATTCCTCCTATAAAACATAAGATTCTTGAAGGCAAATTCTTGGGTATGATATCTGTATGAAGATGCTTATTATACTCAGAGGTAAAAATCTAGTGCTGAGGGTGGGAGTAACAGAGGTCCTATAGCGTTATACAGCTTTAAAAGACATTTTTGTATACACATATTGTATTTTATTAATCTTCTAAAAAGAGCCATGGGACTGGCAGAATAATCCATTGGGAAGGAGAGAGGGCAAAATAAATGAAAATATTAATCTTTGCTGTTTAGGATTGCTATATCTGGTTAAGGTTGTTTTGTTTTCAGATCTGTTACAGGTTTTATAGATGAGTTTAATATGCAACATATTGATTTGGCAATGAGTTTAAAATTTCCCTTCCTGGTAAGCATGGAACCAGCTTACTGCAGATAAATATGCCTAGGATAGGTATTCCCTCATAATGTGCAGAAATATATTTTGAGGGTTTTTAGCTAAGTAGAGGTCTTTCTACTTTTGCCTGAATGAAGAAATATCCACAGGCCAGAAAAAAAAAGAAAAAGAAACTTACTTGGGATTTATTTTGAAATACAGACAATTGAGTAGTAAATTTCAAAAGTTTTACAACATACAGCACATCTTATAACTATGTATTATAGATATAAAGGGATACACTAAGTCCATAGAAATCAATTGAAATGAAGCATCCAGATACATCCAGACTTGAGAAAGAGCACTCTTTTATTATAACTTTTATTATAACCTAGAACAGTGATTCTCAACCTTTTTCACCACACTCTTTTATTACAACTTAGAATAGTGATTCTCAACTTTTTCATCTTATGGCATATTATAACCTAGAACAGTGATTCTCAACCTTTTTCACCACACTCTTTTATTACAACTTAGAATAGTGATTCTCAACTTTTTCATCTTATGGCATGCATAAACCAATTATTAAAATTCTGCAGCACACCAAAAAATGTTTTTTGTCATTTTTTAATTTGACAGTCTAAGGGAAAAGAGGTAAGTCCCCTGACTAGTAAATAGTCAGATATTGCATATTTTAAAAATTCCTGTAGCACATCGGTTGAAAATCACCGACTTAGAACTATTTGTGAAATGTATGACTATGGTGATGAAATTAAGCACATGTTTATTTATAAGCCAATACATAGTGGGGAATAATTACCTGAGTATCAAATTACTTGACTTTCTCTTTGGCCACTAGCAAGGAAAATTGGCTAGAATGCTTCTAGATTGAAATAATATTCCTATAATTATGTTAAATAATATTCTAAATTCTCTGGAGGCTCCTCATTTATTCCTCTTTAAAGAGACAATTCCTGCCAACTCTGATCCAACGTAGTACTATGCCAACGTTCTGTATACGCAGCATTGATTAGAGATCTACATTGCTTAGGCTGACGCTGATTCCTGTCCGAAAATTCAAAACCAGGGATATATAATATATCATATGTAAAGGTGAGATAACATGTGACTATTCCCACTACAGTGACTGGACCATAATAGGACTTCAATAATGTTCCTTTCCTTCTTCTCTTTCCTACAGTGAGCCATTAAAATAAATAATACCCATAACATATATACACTTGGCACTGAACAATCCAAAAATGAAATTAAGAAAAAGAGTTCCATTTATAATAGCAATATACATACAGTACACAATCACATATTATATATAATTTCTATTTTTCTATATGTAATATATGAAATATAGAATATGTATTATATATTATTTATATAGTATATACTACATAGTCTCCTGTGTAATATAAAGAATATAAAAGATATAGTTATATTATTTATAATGTTATGTTATATATACAATACAAATTTTATATAGTTATATTATATTTATATAGTAATATGTAATACACATAATACTATACATTATAAATTGTATATATTATATAACATATAATTTAATAAATAATGCTAAGTTATAAAAAATATCACCAAACAATTAACAAAGACAGGAAAATGTGTTTAAAGTGAGTTATCACAAGAGTTCTAAAATTAATGAAAAAACAAATCAACATTGCAGATTTTGCCCTGCATGTACATTATTATGGCATTTTGGTAGTATTTGGATGCATCGGGATCCTTATTTACCTGATGACAGTGATTGGCCTGAACTTTTCAAGTGAGTATGGGGTTTTTATTTATTTCTGCTATTTTAGTAGATAAACTGATCTTTAGTTTTTCTTAATATCAAGACCAGCTCCACATTATAGTCCAAAATTGGTAAATTAAACTTTCTAGCCATATGTCATGTTACAAAATTACTTTGAATTTAATAAAAATTAAGAAACACTCAAATATAAGAATTTATTCTGCATCTTTAAAAAAAACTTCCAGTGAAAAAGTTGACTTATTATGTGCTTATTCGTATTACTTTGAAAAACAATCATTTAAATGTATTAATGTGTTAGTTAAAACAAAGGGGGGACAATCTCTTTTAAAACAACCAGACCTATGCATAGATGCATGGTTTCTACAGTTTTCAAAATAATGCAACTAAGAAGCTGAAGACACTTGATATAATAAAATGGGAGTTTCTGGAATAAGAATAAATAACAAAAAATAATATACAAAAAAGTAGGTATGAGGTTTAAGAATAGCCTCATCAATCTTGAGAAGGAAAAACACAAGTTGGAGGTATCACAATATGTAATATCAAACTATACTACAAGGCAAATGTAATTAAAACAGCCTGATACTAGCATAAGAACAGACATATAGATCAATGGAACAGAACGGAGAGCCCAAAAATAAACCCACGCCTTATGGTCAATTAATTTTTAACAAAGGTGGCAAGAGCCTACATGGGAGTCAAGAAAGTCTCTTCAATAAATGGTGTTTGGAAATTGGGCAGAAAGGTGCAAAAAATGAAACTAGACCATCAAATTACACCATACACAATAATAAATTAAAAATGGACGAAAGACTTAAATGTAAGCTGTGAAACCATAAAAAATTCTAGAAATTACATAGGCAGTAAATCTCAGACATCTCTCAGCAATATTGTTACCAATACATCTCTTAGGGCAAAGGAAACAAAGGGAAAAATAAACAAATTTGACTAAAAAGCTTCACCACCGCAAAAGAAACCATCAACAAAATGAAAAAAACCCCACTGTATGGGAGGACATATTTGTCAGTGATATATCTGGTAAGGGATTAATTTCCAAAATATACAAAGAATTTATACAACTTAACACCAGGAACTTTTCAAGTGAGTATGGATTATATTTTCAAATAGTCCAATTAAAAAATGAGCAAAGATTCTGAATAGACACTTCTTCAAAGAGGACACACAGATGGCCAACAGACATGAAAAATTGCTCAATGTCACTAATCAGTAGAAAGATGTAAATTAAATCCACAATGAGATACAACCTCAAACCTGCCAGAATAGCTATCATTAATATATCAACAAACAACAAGTACTGGCCAGGATGTGGAGAACAGGAAACCTGGGTGGAGGTTGGCGAAGGGGGCGGGGCATCTATAATATTGTCAACATTTAAAAAAAAGGAATGAATGCAATATTTAGAATTGTGATTAGCACTCAAAGGAATAAAAATAGATATGATTAAAAAATGGCTAATTCTGGGGAAGGAGAGAAATAGAAGCCTAGTATAAGATAAGGACTTTCAGTTTTTATTTGCATGTCTTTTATCTTATGTTAGTATTTTTATTCTCATATACCTAAATTGCTATTTGTTAAGTGTTACTCATTGTATTTTTTCTTTGCCCTGAGTACAGATAAAAAAATGGGTTTCTCACAGAATGTAAACATCAGCAGCCTAGCAGGTAATGTTTGTTTGTTGTTTGGTTGGTTTCGTCTGTAATGTGCTTCTCTATGTTTGAATCAAGAAATTTCAACCAACTGGTCATATAAATTTAGGCAAATTAAATATCAAGTTTTTTTAAAAAACTTTCAAATGGTGATATGATAACTATGTCATAGAATATTTAGTGTAGTTTAAACCAGCTGTGATGGTTAACTTTGTGTGTCAACCTGACCTGGCCATGCATGATATCCAATATTTGGTCTAACACTAGTCCAGATGTTGCTGTGAAAGTACCTTTTAGAAACACTAGCATTTAAATCAGTAGATTTTAGTAAAACAGATTATCCATCCTTTGCTAAATGATACCTAAATGTTATGTCTTCAAGGTGGCCGAAATTATGACTGGTTAAGTCAACATTTTTATACCTTACAATGTGGTCACCCTGCTAATTCTAGTAATCATCTGTCACCTTGAAAACCTATCACAATATTTTTTATTAAATTTCCTTTCCCCTTTTCACCCATCTACCCACCCCCTTCCCTTTGGTCTGTTTCTATGAGTCTAGTTTTGTTTTATTTTGATTTTAGATTCTACGTATAAGTGAAACCATACAATATTGGTCTTTCTCTGCCTGACTTATTTAACTTAGCATAATATCCTCTGTATCCGTTCATGTTGTCACAAATGGCAAGATTTCATTCTCCATAATTACTGCATAATATTCCTTTGTATATATACACCACATATAAAGGCTTTGTTTTTGAAGTGGAAGTACAATTGAACATTAAAAGATAAGTTAATATAGAGCAGTGGTTGCCAATGTGGGGCACATGCCCCACAGGGGGGCAATTTAATTTTTAAGGGGGGCAATTCGAGAATGAGTTATTAACAGAGAAATTTTTGCATTTCTTATGGTTCTAGGAGCCCCATATACTGTATATAAATATATATTGTGACATATTTATGCATTTCAGTTCTCTATTGTGTTTTGAAACTTTATTTGCTATTTTTCATATCACTTCATATTATTTTTTAATAATTTCTTAGTGATTTCTTCTTCAGTACTTCAACTGTCCTTTTGTTCTTTTATTTTTCTCTTTCATGGATGCCATGTTCTTTTGAAGCTTGTTTAGACCAAGTTAAAGGCCTTTTAGGCTTCCTCCATGTGAATAGGAGTTCACTTTTGAATAATAAGAATGATATGTCACAGGGCTGAGGGGGGATCAGGATTTTAGAGATGCTTAGGTGATGCATGGCCAAAAAAAAGGTTGGGAACCACTGATTTAGATTATGCAAATGAAGGGAAAACTATTGAAGGCTAAGGGAACAGTATAAAGGAAAAACACAGGAGGATATATGTGTTCAATGCAGTGGAGTAAGAAATGGTGGCGGTGAGTAATCTCAGAGAAATGAAGTGCCAGTTGTAAAGAAAACCTTGAGAGAAAGGAATTAGAATCAAATAATAGATGGGCTTAAACAACAGGCTTTTACTTTTTCAGTTAGTAATAAACAATCAAAATATTATACATTTTTCTCTTCTAACTATAGAGGTCAGACTTTACAAGCTTTGCTCTTCCCAAACCCTGTCACCCCAAACCCTGCCCCCAGGACTGGAAAGACACAAGTGACTGAATGAATCTCATTTTTGTTCTACTAATAGAGCTGCCTTTTAATCACAAAAGTGAATTGGTAATGGTCTATTTTCCAGTCAATCACATTAGATACTATTCATACTTTCTCTATTAACTGTAGACTTTACTTAACTTTTTCTTCATACATTTTCTTTCAGGAAATAATTATATATGCCCAAATGACTGGCTGCTGAATGAAGGGAAGTGTTACAAGTTTTCAAATTTTTCTAAAACTTGGAATGAGAGTCAGCGTGATTGTTCAAAGCTCCAGGCACATTTGCCCGTGATTCACAATTTGAAAGAGCTGGTGAGGAGGCAGAAACAGGGTCTAAGTGCCCAAGGGAAAATTCTAGGTGCAATTCTAAAAAGTGTGGGTGGTTTATGGTCATTGATTTGAACAACCATGAGCCCTAATATAATTACTATTGTTTATGATTTAAAAGCCGCTATTATTTATGAAAGAAATGATTAGTTTCTTTATCAAGTACCTTACTCTGGCACATTACCGTACTCTATAGAAGGCATTGACATGTTTTTGAATAAATGAATGAATGGATATACTGTTTTTGTCTCTAGGAATTCATACAGAAGAGTTTAAAACCTGGATTTCCTAGTTGGATTGGATTATACATTATATCCCCAGGAAAGCAATGGATGTGGATAAATGAACACCCACTTGTGGAACTAAAAAAGTAAGTAGTGATTTGAAGCAAAGGGATGGTGTAATGATGCTGTTTTCCTTGAGTTTCAAGATTTTTCTTTCTTCCTTCTTACCTGCCTTTTTTAAAAATTATTTTTCTCTCCTTTCTTCTTTCTGTCTCCCCCTTTTTTGGGGGGAGAGGGAGAGGTAGGAATTAAATAATGTTGAGAAATATGGTAGAGTTAGAAATGCTTCTTGAATTGGTATATGAAAGTGTAAATTTAAAATTCTGCCCTTAGAAAATTCTTCCAAACTTGTTAATATCAATTTGTTCATCTATATGAAAAGAGGAACAAAGCTTTCCTCACAATGTTCTTGTGTGAACAACATAAGGTAACACATGGAAGAGTGCTTTAACATTCTTAAGTGTCATATACATTCACCGGTTCTCCTCTGCGCACTCATTTTCTTTGCACATTACACTATTAGAGCACCTGAGAGCTGGCAAGTTGCAGCAAAGCCATGGAGTCAGAGTTATTTCAGTCTGGATATTTATATATACTTCTATTCTCCATCGTCTTTCATGAATATAAAACTAAGGCATCCAGTACTATTCACTTTTTTTGGACTTATTTTGATTGTAATCTTTGAAAATATTAGTAAAAGATATGTAGGCTCATTTTACTTGAAAACTGACATATTGTTAGGGTAACACATCTTCTTTTAAAGCTTTAATTTAATTATTTAACAAAAATGATGTGCAGATGGTTATAATGGTGTTTGGTTTTTATATTTTAAACAAGAATCAGTAACTAAAAACATAGTTAAGAAAATAGCTTTCTCCAAAAATATTCTAACTGCACATTTTCCTAGTCCTGTTACACTATGGAAGTTAAAAAAGGAAGTTAACATTATCAAAACAGTTTTACTTAACTTTAAAAAGTCATTCTTTTTTTTCTATGTTACTGCTTTGCAATTCCCATTAATGTATTACGTCTTTACCAAAACTTCTATTGTAATATCCAATCACCTTTTTAAAAAATATATTTTATTGATTTTTTTACAGAGAGGAAAGGAGAGGGATAGAGAGTTTGAAACATCGATGAGAGAGAAACATTGATCAGCTGCCTCCTGCACACTCTTCACTGGGGATGTGCCCGCAACCAAGGTACATGCCCTCGACCGGAATCGAACCTGGGACCTTTCAGTCCGCAGGCCGACGATCTATCCACTGAGCCAAACCGGTTTTGGCAGAGCTTCATTTAAAACCAGTCTTTGAAGGTGACATTCATCATGATCTCTGCTACTCATATTGATAATCATTGGGCTTGGTGGCAAAGAATAATGCAGAGAAGATATTCAAGTAGAATCTACGGATGTTTCATGATTATTTCTGGTATTACATTTTTCATTGTTTGGGAAAGGATGGTCATATATGAAAGATACTGGGAGTCACAGAAAATCACCATGATCCAACTAGAATTTTCGAGGTATTTCATTAAATGGAACAAATTGATGCCTCAGTAAAGAAGGAACTGATGGAGACCACCTCAGGATGATCTTAAATTAAACCTGGATGTCTATGGGCCTTTTAAAAGTCTCTTGAGCATTTTTAAATAGAAATAAATTCGGGCTTCACAAACTTAACACAAAAAGCATCTAATTCTTAAAGCAGTAAAGGATACAATGGCCTTACAAAGTGCAAAGAAGGTAAGTGGCAATGATTGCTAGAGCAGTTCAGATGGGGTGAGGGGTGAGGAGATCACTTAGATTTGGAAGGCAGGAGGAAAGGCAAGGTTATTTCCAAAGCCGGAAATAGTGTGAATGGGGATCGTAATCAAGAAAGTATAAGGGTCATCAATAGGACTATAATCAGACAGATGTCTATAACATATGTACAAATTTATAAACATCAAACATTGGAAAGAGAGGACAGTTATAAGGTCACATGACAGAAGAACTTAAGTATAGGATACATTGTTTTTTATATACTGTAAGCAATAAGGGGAAGAAGTTGAATGTGTTATGGCCGTACGAGTACATTAAAACACTAAAACATTTATCAACTAAAATATAAAAGATGATAAGATTTTTCAAAATGCCAAATGCCAAATATCTGATGTGAAAAAAAAGAAATAATTGACATACATATTACAGATACTGAAATGGTAATGTCAGCGTAGACAGTTACAAACAAAAGAGAAGAAAGCAAACTCAGCCTAAACCAGGAAACAGTTTCCCACTCACCTGAGGGAAAACCCGGCATCCTGCAGGCAGGAAAACAGCGTTGCAGCCCACGGAGGTGTGAGCTGTGTGGCATGGACGCAGGAAGACAAAACAGCGAGGAAGGAGGAGCCAGCTCTTTCACTGGGAGGAAGAAGCCAATGAGGCAGCAGTAGGAGCCAAAATGGTGATCGTAAAATGGAGAGCATACTAGCCTGGGAAAGTCTAGGAAAGAGATTGGATCATTTGAAAGAAAGCCTATTCTTCCCGCCCGCCCTCGCCCCGCCCTGCCCCAAAGAAGGAAATATATGGTATATGGAAGCTTAGCCGGGACGTGAGGTAGCCACTACCCTATAGCCTGCCTGCTCTCTGCCTCTCCGAGTGTGTACTGTCACTCTGAATGGTCACCTTTTGCTCTAATAAATCTTGCCACTATCACTAAACTCCTTTGTGAATGTGCCTGGAATTCTTTTCCTGAAACACCACTGAAGAACCACAGCCTCCAGTAACAGTAATTAAAATAGAGTAAATCTACGAATCTTTCAAGTAATAGCTAATGCTTGTACTATACATCTTGCTCCAGAAAATAGCAAAAAAACAAACAAAACATGACATCTGCAAGAGAGGGCATATGCTCAATCACGTAGGAATGCCTTTATTCACGTTAGCCAGATGTGAGCTGTTTCCTCCTATCCTTCGGCTCTGCAGGTTGAGACAGGGAAAGCAATCTTGGTTATAGAATGGGACATATCTGTGGTCACCAACTTCTTATCTGTAAAGGAACTTTTACAAAACATTTATATTGGGATGTAATACACATACCATGAAATTCACTCCAACTGTCTTCATCTACCAGCTTGTGCCCTCTCTTGCAGGTATAATACTCTACATGTTCTCCTAAATCTCTTATTACTTTACAGAAATGCTGCTCCCACCTCACTTACTTTAGTAGTTTTCCTCTATACGTAGATTGTCAGCATTCTTAAGCTGTCCTGTGTTTTGAATTCTTGTTTTTACTCACCCAGTAACACTTACTTATCCAGGGTTCTAGCCTGTTGTTACTAGTTCTGAAATGTTGGCAGTACGAAAAAAGTATGACTAACTGAATGTTAATGGACAAACAAAATAGATTCAAAGTCATACATGTTTTGATCAGAGATGAAAGTAGACTAGTTAGTTTCAGGAAGGGAAGAAAAATAGGCTCATTCATAAAGAGTATTATGAAATCAGCAAAGTACTTTTATCCTCAGGCAAGAAAAACTTGCTAAGTGGCATTTTGAGTGCTACACATGGAGAGTAGGATTCATATTATTATAGGACTCCATGCTATTTCTTGGAATTATTTCTCATTTTCATAGACAACCTATACACAATCATAATAATTATACACACACCATATTCAGTCTATGAAGGTTCAGCATTTATTACTTGTGAGACCTTTAGAAAGTTGCCTAAATTCTGTTGCTCAGTTTTCTTTTCTGTAAAATTCAGAGCAAGACTGTCCTTCCCGTGTATAAATATTACAATGATCAAATGAGATAGTACATGGAGAATGCCTAAAATGATGATGCCTGGCATTTATGTGAAATTATCTATCTATTTATCTATTTATCTATCTATCTATCTATCTATCTATCTATCTATCTAATCTGTCATCATCTATCTATTCTATCTACACATAGAATTAGGGACATTTTTATCACTTTAAAATCTGCTTATGAATTACAGCATACATGTGAGTTAAAATAGAACTATATGCCTCGCAGATCATTTTGTGTATGAAACGATATTGTTTTTTAAAATGTACATGTTTTTTAAAATTTAAGTTCTTTATTGTTGAAAGTATTACATATGTCTCCTTTTTCCTCCATTGACCTCTCCCGCCCCTTAGCACAGGCCTTCGCCCCCCTACTGTTTGTGTCCATTGGTTATGCTTATATGCATGCATACAATTCCTTTCGTTGATCTCTTACTCCTCCTCCTCCCCCTCCCCTTGAGGTTTGATGGTCTATTAGATGCTTCTATGTCTCTGGATCTATTTTTGTTCATCAGTTTATGTTGTCCATTATATCCCACAAATGAGTGAGATCATGTGATATTTATCTTTCTCTGACTGGCTTATTCCGCTTAGCATAATGGTTTCCAGGTCCATCCATGCTGTTGCAAATGGTAAGAATTGCTTCTTTTTACAGCAGCGTAGTATTCCATTGTGTAGATGTACCTCAGTTTTTTAATCCTCTCATCTACTGATGAGTACTTAGGTTGTTTCCAAATCTTAGCTATTGTAAATTGTGCTGCAATGAACATAGAAGTGCATATATCCTTTCTGATTGGTGTTTCTAAAATTTACATATTTAATTCATTAATTAGTTATATCACTAATACACTTTCATAGTGAATGAGAGTCAGCATTTCTCTCTGGATATGAATACATATAACTAGGCCCAAATCTGTGCATACCTCTTGCTTTCTGTGAAGGGCCATCCCTCTATTCATTTCTGTAAAATTATATGTGGGAATAGTGAACATCACCATAAAATACTTATATTGTATTCCTAGGTCCTGGTGGCTTGTCAGAATGCTATAAATTCTTTGGTTACACTTCAAAAATATGGATTATTTGGTTCACTTCAATTTCTAGGGTAACATCAAAACAGTGACTTCCCCACTCTATTTCCTGGGAAGAATAGTCATGGAATGACCAGAAACAAAGATGTTCAGGCTATTTTCTACATTTTAGCTTCTCAATTAGCATTGATGTAATACACATATCGAAGTTGCTTTATACATACATTATTTTTCTATAATCCACACATGTAACTTTGCTTTTACCCTGCCTGATCTGTTCAATTTAAATATGTCAATGTATTTATGGCTCTTTTGGCTGACTGTGGGTACTTTGCTCTGTGCTTTATTATTGGTTAATAAATAATCTGACACATTGCTATTAGGGTTGGGCTCATATTGGAATAGAAGTATACCGACCTTTTACAACACAAAATGTACCAAAAGAAATAGTGCATTAACTAATAGAATATCTAAAAGACTGGCAACTTGTTGTGCTTTTTGCTTTTGAAAATTTTGTTTCAAAAAAATTGTCAATGAAATAAAATGTTTTTAAAATAAAAGAAATAAAAACAAAATGAAGACTGAAGTCCTGTTATTCTTTTTAGTTTTTCTGGTGTTTAATAAAGTAACATGTTTATATTATTATTTTATATGCTGAGGAGGCAGGAGAGGTTCCCACCACCACCGCTGTACTGGCACCCCTCAGTTTCTTATTGATAACTGAGGGTGAGTGAAAACACCAACCCTACTTCTCCTTATCCAATTCCATATAATATATATTTCCAGTGGTTAATTCTATAATTAAACAGCATACTTAAAGTCTAATTCTTGTTCTATACAGGACACATATCTTGATATCCTGCTTTATAAAAAGAAAGCAATATAACACATTCTCCTCTATCACTCTTATGCTCTTTTTTATATACTTTTAAATTTCATGGTTATGAAGTTATATTTATCCAAATAGGATAGAATATAAAATTATGTTGGCTTGAATTATAAAAGTGAATATTTAAATACAGGAGATGTGAGTTTCAATTTGCTTTCTGGCCTCAGTCTCTGTAAATGTTAGAGGCAAATATA